AGTAATGAAGTCACTCCTGAGGTTCACCTTTCAGCCAAAGATTAGACAGGCCCATAAAACAAAACGAGACTAAAGGGGTACACCAGCCCTGGGGTAAGGATAAGAAGGCAGGAGGAGACAGGAAAGCTGGTAATGGGGAACCCAAGGTCAAAGAAGAGTGTTGACATGTTGTGGGGTTGGTAACCAATGTCACAAAACACTATGTGTACTAATAGTTTAATGAGAAGCTAGTTTGTTCCGTAAACCTTCATCTAAAGTACAATAATAATAAAAAATAAAAAATAATCAATGTGTAAATGGAAGTTATATGTTTTAAGTTTAAAAAATACTTAAGATATGAACTTTAAAAATAATCCTCCACTTTAAATGACTTATTCAAGTAACTCCAGTATAAGCCTTCTATTGTAGCAGTGGCAGCAGGAGTGAGCATAGTAGCCCAGAAGTCCTTCTATATGAGGGTATCACTAGTTAGTAGAAAAAGTAATAATAATAATAATAATAATGTTTATGATGTACACATAATAAAACATATGTGTACATCATAAACATTCTATTCTAATTTAAAGTATACCAGGTTTATTTAATAAAATCAGTAATATTTAGTTGCCCAGAAGTGTGATTTTTCTCAGCACAGCTCCTCTACTTGTTTGTTGTTACAACATCACCGACTGCTAGTTCTAGTTGTTCTTCAATATAATGTAAAACTACAGAGGATGTCTATAACCACTGCATGACTGATTTATGGTTTTGAATTTATTCTTATTTCTTCTTCCTCCTCTTCACATGTAGATGTATCTGTTTATTTCATGGTTAAATATGATTTTTCATAATATTTTACTTTACTTTCCAATAAATCATCATCATGAATCCCCTGGTATTTACTTCTTTCCTTGTTGAAACTTTCAATTTGTCTGAGCTCAGGTTAAAAACCTCTATTTTTCACCATCATCTTGCACATCAGGATTTTGTGTAAAATTCTCTACCTTAAGAGTTTTATTCCATACCATTGCCCCAAGGCTAACGATATTTTTGATATTGATATCTTAAAAATTTTATAGAACCTGTGTCTTTGTTTTCTATTTTTTTCCAAAATGGAACTCAAAACCTTTTGCCTAAGTGATATATTTAAACATTT